GAACAGAATGACCTTTGCAGACACAGTTGAGGCATCAGCTTGGAAAGAATACCCTGCCAGAGTGGAGCAAACATCCTCTAGGATTCAATATATACCCTAAAGCAACTATTAGATGGTTGTATCCCAAAATGTAGATGCCCCACACCCAGTTATCAAGGGACAGATATAGGAGTGATCTTGCTCACCATCACCCACAGTGACCCGCCAGGGGGGTGGGGGGAGAGTTTATGTTTCCTATCCCACATCTCAGGACTCTGTGGGTTTAGAAGTCCTGGTTCCACCAAGGTTTCTAGCTTTGGCTACACTCTGTCATTAGACTCATAGACCAAGAGACCCACAGTCAGAGAAAGGAAGGGGTCTACATCCTGAAGGGAATAATTGACCTTGGCCATCGGGAGGGGGCAGTTTTAGTCAAAGGGGACAGAGAAGGTGTAAGGGCCGGACTGGGCACAGGTGCAGGTTTTCTGATCCCATGCAGACTGGGTAAAGGAGGAGTCAGAGTCCTCAGTGGCTTTGCAGGTCTTTTATTGGGGTTCACCAGGCATATGGCAGGCAGGGGTGCTGGCTGGGGGGCTGGGAGGCTGGCAGGCCTCCCAGCCCCCAGCAAGTCTTTACTCTATCTGGGCTCTCTGGCGTTCTCTGCTTCTGCTTCAGCTTCTCCTTCAGGTTCTGCTGCTGCTGGCTGGGGCTGCTGGCATCCCCCCGTGACGCCGCCCTTAAAAGCCCAGTCTCAGCACAGGTGAATCCCATCTACCTATGCCCACACCCTATTCCAGGTGCCCACCATCAGGCATGCATTCAGGACAAGGATCCATCATCTATCCTGATGGCGGAAGGGCAGAAAAGCCTGATATTTTCTTTACCCTACAGTCCACCCCCTCAGGGTTTTCTGCCATACAGTCTATACATATATATACAATTTTCTAAGCAAACAAACAATGCAGCCATGGCCCACAAAAGAAAATACATCAAATATAACAAAATACAATATAACAAAATACAACAGAACACAAATAAGTCCAGGCAGGGCACCAACCTAGTGCAAAAGACAATTATTGGTACCAGCAGATGAGCCGCCAAATCTGCTGCCGAAGGCACTGCTCATACGAGGGAGGGGAATCACTCACAGCATCTGCACACCAGGAGCCGTCAGGCTTCCTGGCCTTCTCTGGCTGTAGTCTCGGCTACAAGCCACACACAGCATCCACCCCCAGGATGCACTAGCTCTGGGATTGGCAATTTTATTCTGTTGGGGGTAATTGCCAACCCTCAGGGTTTCTGTCTGCAGTCGCTCCAACACTCGGCCTTCATGGCCACCCACGCGACTCACAGACCCCTGCTCTCAGGCCAACCCACTGCACAAGCACATGGGTCGGGGATCCAAACTCTGCATTCGGCTTGGGCTCCACCCCAAGCCACGTTCCCCACCCGTCCCCCAAGGACGGGTTCCTCAGCTCCTCACCCTCACTCGAGAATGAGCAGGGCATCACCCACAGGTGATTTTACGAGACTCACGGGTCTTCAGCATACTCAGGCTGCTTAACAGCCGCTTAGGGCTTCTCAACTTAGCATCAGTACCAGCTTTTGCCTTCTTAGTTGGCTTTTCTCCTCCACCTGGCTGCTGGGCATGCACAGGCTGCTTTTGGCCATCTAGGCCCACTGGCCACCCCCAGATTCTCAAAAAAAAAAAACCATAACCTGCCAAGGTCCTCCGCCTTCTGGCGGGATTGTCAGTCCAAGTTCATCAGTTCATCAGTCCATCAGTCCAAGTCCGTTAGCCTCTCCCTGCATCAGCAATGGCCTGCTGCCTCAGGGGTCATTGGCTGGTCCTTTCCGGTGTCGTTGGCTGGTCCTTTCCGGCGTCTCCTCCATGCCAGGTCCCGTCCTGCAGCTCCTGGATGTTGTCCACCTTCTGTGCCACCATGGCGCCTCCAGCATCATCACAGGCAAACAGTCTGTTCTCCTTAGTCCCTCCAGGTCTTCGGAGGGCTCCAATACCCGTCTGCATGGATCTTGCCGACTTACGCCAATTGTAAAGTCAGGACTGGACACAGTGCAGGTTTTCTGATCCCATGCAGACCGGGTAAAGGAGGAGTCAGAGTCCTCAGTGGTTTTGCAGGTCTTTTATTGGGGTTCACCAGGCATATGGCAGGCAGGGGTGCTGGCTGGGGGGCTGGGAGGCTGGGAGGCCTGCCAGCAAGTCTTTACTCTATCTGGGCTCTCTGGCGTTCTCTGCTTCTGCTTCGGCTTCTCCTTCAGGTTCTGCTGCTGCTGGCTGGGGCTGCTGGCGTCCCCCCCGTGACGCCGCCCTTAAAAGCCCAGTCTCAGCACAGGTGAATCCCATCTACCTATGCCCACACCCTATTCCAGGTGCCCACCATCAGGCATGCATTCAGGACAAGGATCCATCATCTATCCTGATGGCGGAAGGGCAGAAATGTCTGATATTTTCTTTACCCTACAGAAGACTAAGTTATTCTTTGGGTGTTCCCTCATTCACATCCACTGATGACTGGACAAGAGCAGCTGTCAGTCGCAGCTTGAGAAGAGCAAGATGACCAGAGGCTCGGCTCCTCAGGGATGAGGATTTGAATCAACACAGATGGCAAACTGCCTAGACCACCAGAGGAGGGAAGTTTAGAACATGTTCTCAAGGAGGGAAGGCGTCATGAAGATCATTTTCAGCCCCAAAACCAGCTGCAGTAGTGGGGGCTATTTTCGCCCCACCAACCTTCTTTCAAGTTTCCTGAGAAAAAGAAGCTGAACACATTCCTGGAGATATTTTCCAGAACATATCGTGTAAGTTCTGGAGAGCACAAGGTTGGGTAGTGGTGGATTCTGAGGAGTGTGGCCCAGACCCATTAGAGGGTACTGATGCCCTCCCAGGACAGAGCACCCCTTCCTCAGCTGAGAGTTGGCTGCCAATAGCTCTCAGCTGGTTTTCTTCCATGGGCACTGCTCCTTACTGAAAAGCAAGGCTTGCCCAGGAACAGCCTACTGTCATGACTGGTTGAGATGGGAGGATAAAAACCTGGGTTCCTGTCCCCATCTCAGCCAGCTCCTGTCTGACTTGGGACTGTGAATACAGAACTCTTGACCAATTTTACTGGCCTCAGTGGGAGTAATGTTTCCCAAGTATCCCAGGAATCAAGTGAGGTCATCTGTTTGATCCCTGAGTTCCTTCCCTCATTTTATGGATGAGATAATCAAGGCCCAAAGTAATAAAGTGACAGAGAGCTTTTCTGGGAATAAAATGGAAATCACCTGCAGGTCAGTTTTCTTCCTAGTGCCTCATGCCACCATTTAGGCTGCTTTGTGGAACAGCCAATGCGAGCAATATCCAAGGAGCCTTTGGTGCCACACAGTGACCTACTGGATGCATCAGGAGGCAGATGCAGTGGGCCCTTGGCCCTCCAGCCTCAGACCATTGGGGTTTTGCAATCAGGCACTTTGATCCTTTCCTACCCTTGGGGATGTAGTTGGTTTTTGTCCAGACATAGGGGTCACATCACACACACAAATGCAGGCCCATTTCACATGTTGCAGGGGAAACCTGATTTGAGTTCCTTACACAGGAAGTCACCCTTTGATTGCAGCTTTGTGGAGTTTGAGAAGTTTCTGTGTTGCTTGTCCCACTTCTCCATCTACATGTCACCCTCCCAAGGCCCATTCTTCTCTCAACTGCCTTCTCCTCTCCCCATTACCAGTGCCCTGGTTTTGTCCCCCTCCCCCCAAGTCACCTCTTGCCACATTGCAACAGTGCTGTAACTGCTCCTCCCCGTCCTGATCCATCCCACAACCCCCTGAAGCACCTCTGATCATGGAGTTCTGCTTCCCACTGACTCAAAACTCATTAGCCATTATTGGGCCTTACTGGTGGCACAAGGGGTTAAGATACAACTATGAAGCAATCCATAGCCTCTGCAGCATGAGTTCGATCACTAGGTCTGCCAGAAAGAAACCCACAAGGTGCGGCAGACCTCTCCTGACTCGCCTGCTGCTCCCCTCAACAGTGTACTTCCATCATTCTGCCTGTTCTGTTCCCCATTCTGTCTCTGGTGAATCCTCTCACCCCCTGCACCTCTGGCCTGTGCCCCAGATCTTGTATAAATAAATAAATCTTTAAAAAAATTACAAAATAACTCATTAGCCATTATTACTGGGATAATCAGTGCTCCAGTTTGCCTGGGACACAGTTCATTTCTATCTGTTGTACCAGCATAATTATTAATGGGCCTTCTTTATAGCCTCACAAGTGTCCTAATTGGAGTGATAAAAATTACATGTTTCTTTCATCACTTATCTGAATGGAGGACAAGCTCCCTGCTTCTCAGCCTGGCCTCCACCTTCCTTCCCAAATTTCCACATTACTTTGCACAGACCTTAACAATGACACCCTCCTGATGGGCTTCCAAGCACATTATGATCCTTCCAGGCATTTGCTTAAGTTATACCTCTTTCCTTCCTGCCTAGCCTGAAATAGCTCAAAAAAGCCCCCACATTTGTCCATCCAGCAGGACCGAGTATAAGTTCCAGGTAAGCCTCTTTACATGTTTATAAAGTCTTATTCTAAATAAATCTCCTGGCAAGGATCATCCAGCCTTCCTCTGATTTCCCGGTGTTTGCATCATCTGTGTGTTCTGGATTGGAGGACAATCAGAGTAGTAAGTCAGGCACCGGCTGTGATAGTAGGTCTTAAGAGAGATTTGGGGCAATAGTGAGGTTGGCAAGGAAAGAAACGTGGTGTGGTTTAGGATCTAGAAACCTTCTCTTGGGGGTCAGAATTAGAGAGCGCTAGTCCTGAAATTCACTGAACAGCTGAGCCAAGGGCATTTCTCGGGAACATAGTTCCTGTCCCATAACCACACCTCTCTCCCCTTCTCCCATCTCTCTCCCTTTGGCTCAGTGTAGATTCTCCACAAAACCACAACTGTTGAATGTCACACACACACACACATACATGCACGCACACACACAAAGATATAATATAACATATTTATTGTTCAAATAACATAAACTTCCATTTAACATTATGAGTCACACCATGGTTCACAAGAACTACATCTTATTAAAAATACAAAAAACAGGGCCTCCCTGGTGGTGCAGAGGTTAAAGTCTCAGTGCTATCAAGCTATCCCAGATACTGCCTCATGACTTTGATCCCTGGCCAGGGAGCTAACTAACTCACATGGTGCATCCTACCTCTCCTGTCTCACCAACTGCTGCCCTCACGAGTGTATTCCAGTAAATCCACCTGTTCTGCTCCACACTCTGTCTCTAGTGAATCTTCTCACTCCCCACACCTCTGACCTTCATCCCAGTTCTTGTATGCATAAATAAATAAAAATAAATATTAAAACAAAACAAAACATTTTTACATTGCTAATTTTTTCCAGGATGCTTCAGGATGATAGAAAGGTGGGAAGAGGAGATGCAGGCTCACTTGCTACTTTATAGGGGATGAAAGTGGGACTTCCAGAAGGGAAACAACCTGGCCAAAGCTGTACATTTCATAGTTTTATTGTATTCACTTTTTATTTTTTCTTCTTCATTTTTTTAACTGAATACATTTGACATATAAAATTATGTGTAAATTTAAGGTATATAACATGTTACTTGTATATATTTCTATATTGTAATATGATCGGTTTTCTAGCTACATTTATCATCTTACATAGTTGTAGTGCTGTATGATATTACTTATTGTGGAATCTAAAAAAAGTCAAACTTGTAAAAAAAAAAAACAAAACAGTAAAATGGTGGTTGCCAAAGAATGAGGGAGGTGAGGTAATAGATTGTTGTTCTTTAAGAAAACAAACTAGCAAAGAGTAGTAATTAGTGATATTTACACAGTGATCTAATGCACAGTCTAATGAACAAGGTTTTATATTTTAAAAACAACTGATATTCATGGCAGATAAGTTTAAAATGCCAATCGCTTACATGCCTGCTGGGTCTCAAATAAATTTTAAATTATTTTTTAATTATTAGATAAAAGCCACTCATTTTGAAATGATAGTGAGATTATTTTGGAACCCATCTTAGGAAGACCAAGAAAAGTGAGTCAAGCATTTCTCAGACTCTAAGAATATCTATGGATTTGGAGTTTGGGATCTCTTGTCTAGTTGCTTCATGGCGTCCTGGACCCACTTCTCCTTGGGGTCTGCACAGATATCCTTGGCCAATTTGGTCCTGAAGCTGTGGGAGAGAGGGGAAGCAGTCAGTATGTCTTCTTGAAAGTTGTTTCTATGTAACCCCAAACCTTCCAGGACCATCTGCTATGAGGCAAAAAAGGTTGCCATGGGCAAGAAAGGAGGGCAAGAGGAAGCTTGGAGCTCAAGGGGTGCTCTTGATGGCCCAGTAAAAATGCTCTTCACTGGAAGCAACTGGGATGATATAAACCAGACTCTAGGCAATTATCCAGGAATGAAAATTTCCTGTTATGAAAAATTGATAGATTAGATGGTAAAAACCAAACCCTCTGAATTTATGATTCCAAATAATTGTGACATATTCATGATCTCTGGCCCCTGAGATGAATTTTTGGACCAGGAGTAAGTGAGCTTCATCTACTTACATCACTGCTTCCCGGGGACATTTACTGCCAGTGATTCTTCTGTAGCTTTGCAGTCGATGGAAGTTGATCTTCTTGCCAGTCAAAGAAAAGCAGCAGACAGTTGTGACAGAAACTGAATTTGGGGAAGAAATGAATAGAAAGGATCAGTCACTAATGATGTAGATATTTAAAGCGTGACTTTGTAAGGAAGGAAGGATATTTAGGAGAAAAAGAAATGTCAGAGGTGGAGGTAGACTCTCTCTCCTCTGAGATCTTGTGCCTCTGGCTTTGATCAGAGGTCCCCAGCTTTGCAGTGGGGACCCATCACTGGTGGCAAGAATAAGGGAAGGCTTGGTCAATGGTCAATGCAGTAAGCTTTTTTTTTTAATTATTTTTTTAAAGATTTATTTATTTATTTATACAAGCACTGGGTACAGTCAGAAGCGCAGGAGAGTGAGAAAATTCACCAGAGCCAGAGTGGGGAACAGAACAGGCAGACTGACAAAGTACACTGCTGAGGGGAACGGCAGGCGAGACAGAAGAGGTCTGCCGCACCATGTGGGACCCTCGCCGGCAGGTGGCCTGGGATCAAACCGGCGCTGCAGAGGCTGCAGGCAGCCTCACAGCCCAGCACTCAACCGCTGCACCACCAGGGGAGGCCCAATGCAGTAAGCTTTAACTCTGTCATTGTGGGGCGTTTCATGGCTATGTGCGCGCCAGAGTACGTTCACCAGATGTTCTCCCTTCTCTGCTCTTTGGACATAAGGCAGACTTGTATATCTTGGCTATTTTTGGATGGAGCCATTAACTAGCTTTGACCAAAAAGTGAGAAGACAATTGATAAGTGACATTTCTGAGCCAGAATTTATAATTATCAGTGCAAGACCCCTTCTTTCCCTTTGTCACGATGAGCAGCAATGTTCCCCAAGATTGCTGTCCCATCAATCTAGAACCTGTGTATAGCAAGCAGAAGCTCTAGGCAACACATTTTATGACATTTAATATGAGTGAGAAATTAACCTTCGTTGTTTTAAGCCACCGATAATTTAAGATTATGTCTTACCAAAGCATGCACTATCTTATTTGGACTGAAACATGCAATAAATCCAAGTCTTCAGAGGATGGAAAAATGAGTTATGAAACAAACACCCAGATATTTTTTCCCAAGAAAACTCAAAACAGTCACTTTGAGAGATTTCCCTAGGACAACATTCCTTTTCCCTACCCACTGTTTCTGAAAGCTGTCTTGGAATGCAATAAATATTCCAGGTCTCCAATCAAGTATTGATTTTTTTCCCTCCATGACCACAGTAAGAAAGGGTCTTTCTCTTGTGTGGCTCATTCCCTGACATTGCAAGGGCAGCGAGGTCACCGATGCACACAGCATCTCACTCAATACTCATGTCAGGCAAGGACCCGGTGATAAGTCCTGGGTTTCTAGTCCTGGCTTTCTCACTGATGGTGACGTTGGGTACCATTGTCTGCTCTTGAAACCTGTTTTCCCCTCTTTAAAATGCAGGGTTTGTAGTGAGTCTCTGCAGATTCTTGCTGGTCTGATAGTTCTGAGGTGGTCTGCTTTCCCATAGAGAGAGTGGGGGCTTACCTGGCTGGGCGAGCACCTGGGTGCTGAGGGTGGCAGCCGTAAGCAGCAGGCACAGAAGCACAGCGGAGACCTTCATGTTGGAGGATGAGGATGGCTGCTGCAGCCTCAGAGCTGTTGGTTTCTGCACTTGTCTCAGATTCTCTGCAAATCTGGAGGTTCTGCCTGCCTTTTAAAAAGACAGAAGGCGGAGTAGGAGCTTCCAGGGAACACTTTGACTACACAAGGTCACCGTCAAATCAGGATGAAGGGATTTTCTGACTAAGTTTCAGATCCTGGCATGTTCATAGGCCATGAGAGAACAAAATTGGTGGGAGGGGACTTGGCACACTTTTCACACCCTACGTCTGGAAGTGGGGAAGAAGGGATGTGTGGTTGTGAAATGGCCACACATGGATGATAATTTAGGAGGGTCCTTCTCAAAAACAATGTTTTCTCTGACATAGAACATCTGTAGTAGGGAAAAGAAGTGAGAAAACGAAGGGCCCGAACAGTTGAGGAGATCTCGGGGCTGTGCCTGACCCCTGTGTTTACATGGTGGCCTTCAGGAGCCCAGGAAGGGGCCCTAATAGTTCCACTAGGCTCTCACCCCACCCAGACATGAAGACATCTCAGCAGCTCTGGACATTTCCAGGTGCTGGGACCCCAGGAATGACAGCACACAAGAACGCCACCTCACGTTTCAATCCAGTGGGGGCAGAATCCTGGGAGCCATAGGAACTCAGAACTGGATAGTACTGTTGATCTTGATTTCCTGTGCACTTTCCCCAGCTTACTGGGAATGATTGACAAATAAAGATTGTATGTGTATGTGTGTGTCTATATACATACATACAGTATATATATACAGTATATATATATATGAAATATTCACCATAATCAAGTTAATGTACATGTCCATCACCACCTCATATAGTAACCTTTGATTTTTGGTGTAATGAGAATACTTAAGGTTTATTATCTTAGCAAATTACAAGTATATAATGTAGTATCATTAACTACCATCACCATGCCGTACATTAGACCCACTGAACTTATTCACCCTATCACTGAAAGTTTGTGCTCTTTGACCAACATCTCCCCAGAAATACAAATGCAAACCACAGCATGATATCACCCTACACTTTCTGGAATGGCTATTATAAAAAAGGGGAGTGATAACAAGTATTGGTGAGGATGTGGAGAAAAGAGAAACTCTGTATGCTGCTGGTGGGGTTTTAAATTGGTGCAGTCACTCGGGAAAACAGTATGGAGATCGCTAGGCATTTTTAAATTGTTTTGTTACCTGATGAAGACTTTTTTCCAAATGGAATCAAATAACAAATGCCCCCCCCCCATCAAATATGCTATAGCAGAGTAGGCCTGTTTGAAGATATCAGGTAACCCTTTTTATGCCCTCCCACCCTGAGAATTCAAGGAACACATTCAAGGAAAACTGGTGATGGCATTGATCCTGCCCCCTTGAATGCATGTCACAGACAAGGTGTCTGATAAGTAAAGGTGTCAAAGAGAAAGACCTCACAGGTATCTTCTCTGTATATAACACTAGGATCCCTAGTAGGAGAGTGTGCAGGGGAGACCTCTTGCTGAGGTCTTTAATAAAGTCTTTGCTAAAAGTCTTTATGGGGGGCCTCCCTGGTGGCACGAGGGGTTAAGATGCAACCTGTGAAGCTGTCCGCAGCCACTGCAGCATGAGTTCGATCCCCAGCCAGGGATATCCACATGGAGCTGCAGACCTCTCCTGTCTCACTGCTTGCCTCAGCAGTGTATTTCAGTCAATCCGCCTGTTCCCCCATCTGTTTCTGGTGAATCCTCTCACCCCCTACACCTCTGACCTATACCCCAGTTCTTGTATGCATAAATAAATAAATATTTTAAAAAAAGGCTTTATGGGATCATTGTGGTGAATGAAGAATCAGATACTGGCATCGATCCTCTGCGAGGGCTTTTCATTCACACATCAAATTGATTGATTGGTACAAATTGCAGAGAGAAAAAATAAGAAGGACTCTGAAGTCTTATCTTGGGTTAGTAGGAGATGACTGGTGGTTGACTGGTGATGTCTGTCATGGGCACAGGATCAGAAGTCACGCTTGCTGGCCTATGTGGTCTCTAAACTCCCATCTAGAGTAACTGGTACACAGTTATCTAAAAGGGGACTAAGTAGAGGCCAGAGAACCTGGACCTTCCTTGTTTTTCCTACTCAGCTCCAGGTGAATTGGTTTAGTGTGGCCTCTGGAATCAGAACGCTGAATTTGGATGATGGCTTTGCCACTGACTAGCTTTGGTACCATGGATAACATCCTAAGCACTCTGCTAGGTTAAGATGGGGATAGCAATCATGTTGTGTGATTAAATGACTTAATAGACATATAAGATGCTTAGAAAAGTTAGTAGATCACTGTAAATGCTCACAAAGTAGTTTATATTTGTTGTAATTAAGAAATGGGCAGAATTTGCAGACCAGGGCATGCTGAGAAATGATGATATATTCCTTATCTCTTACCAAATTTTCTCACTGCTTCCAAGTAAAGACATGTTACTCTAGTGATGGTTTCCAGGAAAACTTGAGCTAAATATGTGACAGAAATGAGGTCTCAAAAGTTGTGTTGATAGCACAATCTTTTCAAATTCCTGACCTTAGAGGTGTTTGGCTGACATGACTCAATGATTGTGTTCCTTAGTAAGAAAAATTTCATAACTCCGCTGGTTGTTTCTAGAGCCCAACAAACACTTTTTCAATTTTTCAAAAATTCTCACAGGGTTTTAGATTAATCATGACCAATAAAACCTCAGTAAAATAAATAAACTAAATCTTTAGATATCTCGTTTAGCAGCTGTTCCCTCCAGCCAACTGGCTGGCCCTAAAGGGAGGGGACAACCTCTCAGGAAGCTCTGCTCTCCTCTGTGATGGCCTCTCACTCCAGTGACAGAATTGGATTCACTATTACCTCTGACTTGGTCAGGAATGACTTGCAGAGTCCAAGTTACTAGCAGGAATTTGTTCCCTACTGCAAAAACAAAATCTTAGCTCCCTAAGCTGAGCGATAAGTAGAAACAGATCCTGAAAATCAGGATCCTGTTTTTGTTTTGCAGCTCTGCTCTAGATTCATTCTAATATCACAAAGTCATATACAGAATTAAAAGAGACATTGATATTCCTTCTAATTCTCTCTTTAAAAAAAAAACAGGGGGGCCTCCCCGGTGGCGCAGCGGTTGAGCGCTGGGTTGCGAAGCTGCCCGCAGCCTCTGCAGTGCCAGTTTGATCCCCGGCTGCTCCCCAGCCCCCCAGCCACCAGAGGAGGGCCCCACATGGCACGCAGACCTCTCCTGCCGCCCGCTGCTCCCCTCAGCAGTGTACTTCGGTCCTTCTGCCTGCTCTGCTCCCCGCTCTGGCTCTGGTGAATTCTCTCACCCTCCCGCGCTTCTGACTGTACCCAGTGCTTATATAAACAAAAACAAACAAACAAACAAACAAATAAATAAATAAAACATGCCTCTATTTAAAAAATAAATAAATAAAAAAATAAAAAAAAATAAAAAAAAAAAAACAGGGGCCCGGGCCTCCCCGGTGGCACAGCAGTTGTGTGCTCGGTTGTGAAGCTGCCCACAACCTCTGCAGCGCCGGTTCGATCCCTGGTCCCAGGCAAGGGTCCCACATGGCGTGCAGACCTCTCCTGCCGCCTGCTGCTCCCCTCAGCAGTGTGCTTCGGTCCTTCTGCCTGTTCTGCTCCCCGCTCTGGCTCTGGTGAATTCTCTCACCCTCCCATGCTTCTGACTGTACCTAGTGCTTGTATAAATAAATAAATAAATCTTAAAAAAAAAGAGGGAGGGCCTCCCTGGTGGCACAGGGTTTAAAGACAGTGCTGTCAAGCTATCGCCAGCCACTGCATCATGAGTTCGATCCCTAGCCAGGGAGCTAACACACATGGCACAGCAAACCTTCCCTGCCTCATCCACTGTTCCCCTCAGCAGTGTATTTCAGTCAGTCTCCCTGTTCCTCTCCCCACTCTGTCTCTGGTGAATCTTCTCCCCCCACCCCCACACGTAGGGCCTGCACCCCAGTTCTTGTATGAATAAATAAATAAATCTTAAAAAGAAGAATAGAGAAACAAGAATCGGGGACCAGAAATGAAATCCCTAAGGCAATGCCAGGTATTTTACACTGAGCTGACTAAATCCCCAGCCTCTTAACTCAGATGGTTGGAAACCTTTATCGCTTTGTAGTCTTTGGGCTCTGTTTCCCTTAGGGAAAAACAGGACAAATAGGGTCAGTTACCTCTTTCTCAAGTATGGCTGAGACTATGACTGCAGTTTCTAGCTGCTTTTGGAGGAAACATTTACCCCCAAATATATGTTAGCATGAACGTTTTAACAATGTGCTAGCAAAGGCAGGTTCTCAATGGCCATGCTAACCCCTGCAGGGCACGCTGCCACTCTGTTTTTATTGCACGAGTGTTAACGTATTTAATCCTCAACAAACTTATGAAGTAAGTGCTCTAAATAAGTCTGTTTTAAAAGGCAGTAAAACAGGCTTAAGGAAGTTAAAGGACTTCCTTTCCTGTGAAATCACTTTTAAAAATGAAGCCTGCTTCTCAGAGTTGTCCTGAGAAAAATTCTTATTTCAAATATACTACTGTTACATTATCTCATACACTCCCTAGGGGGGGGGCAATCAGTTTTACTCTTTTGCACAAAGACGGAGGCACAGAATGCTGAAAGTGTCTCCCTAACCCAATCGGTCATGGTACTGCTAACCAGTGATTTGACAACAATAGCAAACAAATAATCTCAGTGGTTCACTGCAACGGATAATTACTTTTTGTTTATGTAGCGCAGCTTGATGTTGCTCAGGCAGCTTGTAGAAGATATTCTTTTGATCAGTGACTCAGAGAGCCAGGCTGCTTTTAGTTGACAGCCAGCATCTGGAATATGTGGCCTCCAAGTTCAGTGAGGCAAGGAGAGAGAGGCCTGGTAGATTGTATAGAAAGTTTTAAAGAACTTGGCATGGGAGCCACTTGTGTCCTATTTGTCTACATCCTGTTGGCCTTAACGTCTTATGACGCCAATCTAATAACAAAGAAGGATAAGAAATGATGAGGAACAGATGACTCTTTGGTGAGGGCTAATAGTTTATCACCATCTGTCTTTT